TAATGGGGTTTGGGTCACCACATTACAAAAAAGATGTTACACTTTGGAAAAAATACAAAGAAGAGCAACTAAGATGATTAAAGGCATAGAGACAAAAACATATGAGGAACAGTTGCAGGAATTGGATATGGCTAGTCTAGAGAAAAGAAGGACACAGGTGGCATGATAGCAGTATTCCAGTATTTGAGGGTCTGCCACAAAAAAGAGGGTGTTTTTTACTTTCCAAAACACCAGAAGGTAAGGCATGAAACAATTGGTGGACACTAATCAAGGAGAGAAGCAACCTGGAATTAAGGAGAAACTTTCTGAGAACAATTAACCAGGGACTGAAAGAATCAGAATCAAAATTAGAATAGAGCTGGAAGGGCCCAGGAGGACTTCTAGTCCAGTCCCCTGCTCAAGCAGGAGATCCTATACCATTTCAGACAAGTGACTGTCCAGTTGCTTCTTAAAAACCTCCAGTGATGAAGCACCCACAACATCTGAAGTGAAGCTGTTCCTCTGGTTAATTGTCCTCACTGTTAGGAAGTTGCTCCTTAGTTCCAGGTTGCTTCTCTCTCTTAGTTTCCATCCATTGTTTTTTGTCCTTCCCTCTGGTGCTTTGGAAAATAAATTGCCCCCTCTTTGTGACAGTCTTTCAAATATTGAAATATTGTCCCTCCTTGTCCTTCTTTTCTCTAAACTAGCCAAATCCAAATACTGCAAATATTATTCATATGTGTTAGTCTCTGGGCCTTTAATCATCTTAGTTGCTCTTCTTTGCACTTTTTCCAAGGTCTCAACATCTTTTTTGTAATGTGGTGACCAAAACTAGATGCGGTATTCCAGGTGTGGCCTTACTAAGGCTGTATAAAGCAGTGCGAGTACTTCAGTTATTTTGATTTTATACCTTTGTTTATACAGCAAAGGATTGCATTAGCTTTTTTGACTGCTGTCACACATTGTTAAACTCATGTTTAAGCTCTTCTACTCCAAGGTCTCCCTCACAATTACTGTTTTTGAGCCAGGTTTCACCTAATCTGTACTTGTATCTTTGGTTTTTCCAGCCCAGGTGTAAAACCTTGCTTTTCTCCACATTAAATTTCATTTTGTTGGATAGGGCCCATCCATGTTCAAGGTCTGTAAAGATCTTTTTGGATCCTGAGTTTGTCTTCTGGATTTTGGCTATTCCTACCAGCTTAGTATAATCTGCAGATTTGAGAGTTCCCCTTCTATTCCCTCATCTAAATCATTTGTGGAGATATTGAAGAGTATTGGGCTTAAGACAAAACCTTGTGATACGTCCTGCTTACTTCCCTCCATGTAGATATAGTACCATTAAGGACTACTTTTTGAGTACGGTTTGTCAGTCAGTTACAAATCCATCTGGTGGTGATGCTGTCTATCCCACATTTTTCTAGCTTACCAATAAGAAGATTATGGTTTACTTTGTCAAATGCCTTATTGAAGTTTAAATATACTATGCCCACAGCATTTCGCTGGTCTAGTAATTTAGTCACTTTGTCAAAGAATGAAATAAGATTGGTTTGGCATTATCTGTTTTTAACAAACCCATTTGTTATTTGTTTGTTTCTAGATGTTCACAGATCTTTTTTTTTTTATTATTTTTTCTAGTATCTTCTCATGCTGTAGCTGCCAAAAAGGCCAGTGTAGTCCTAGGCTGCATCAACAGAGGGATAGCATCAAGATCACAATGTTCTATACGGCGCTAGTTAGGCTGATTGCTCTGTAGTTTCCTGGGTCTGTTTTTTCCCCTTTTTTTGAAGGTGGGAACCACATTCAGCTGTTTTCCAGTACTGTGGTAGTTCCCCAGCACTCCAAGATTTTTTTAAAGATATGATACAATGGTTCTGAGATAATATCTGCCAGCTCCTTCAATCGAAGAGCTTGCCTTCAGAAATTGTGGGTGCTTCATCACTGGAGGTTTTTTTTAAAAAAAAAAGACTGGACAACCACTTCTCTGAAATGGTCTCTTGCTTGAACAGTGGGTTGTTCTAGACAATCTCTAAGGTCCCTTTCAGCTCTATTCTGATTGACTGACTGATTCAGATGAAAATATTTAAGACACCTTTTATTTCCAGCCAATTTATGCATGGAAGATATAGCTAAAGGTCCACAGTCCAAGGATTCTCCCAATCACTTCCCCTTTGATTTGTCCTACATGAAAACTGTAAGGCAGCATGACTCTCTGGCCTAGAAACTTGAATACGAATAAGGCCCAGCAAGTGAGGGCAATGCAAAATTTCTGATTCTTCAGAGCCTGCAGCAAAAACACTTTAATATGGCTGTGAGGGAGTGGAATCTACTGGACAGTGAGCAAATAGCAAAAACAATATTGTGGCCTTTACATCACAAGTTTCAGTCTTCTTATTTGTGCAAGTATGCAAAAGACCAAGTTTGTATCATAATGGAAAGCTGCTTTCATCATTTTTATGAAAGCCTTCAATCCTGCAGGTGCAGGATTATTTACTCTGACTCCATATAATAAAAAATAAGAAATCAACAGAAAATGCCTCATGGGACTTTGATAAAGCCATGTTTGGTTACTTGCTGGAATTATCACTCAATTTTCTGTTGTCTAAAGTTGTTTCTCTTATATTCTCATTTTGTCATGCCTAAATGACTAAAGGTTGGAGACCAATAATTACTTTTTCATAGGTGTGTAAGGGTAGATCTAGAAAGCAAGCAATGGCAGACATTTCTAAAAATCCTTGCCAAGTTACAACGCAAAATCATCTTGCTTTTATTGTGCCATCCATATACTTGGAGAATTGCCTCTTAAGCTTTCATACATTCATATAGTTGTGACAATGCCATTCCATTATCTATTCAAGAGCTAAAATCTTTTTCTCAGTGCGAGAAATAATAATAATAATAATAAATAATAAATAATAATAATAATAATAATAATAATAATAATAATAATAATAATAA